TCGTTTTCGACCCAACGGTAAATCACGTCGATAAATTAGAACTACTACTATGACCCAGCGAATCATTGCTCCCCAGTGTACACGTAATTGCTCAAAAGCTACGGGAGGTACGAACAAAGCTATTTCAAATACGATTGTACTAATGTAATGTGGACGAATCCAACGGGAGGATCTTTCGTAGAAACGAAGGGGATTTTCGAACACAAACCAGGGAGTAACGATGGAATAGTGATCTCGCGAGCACTCGTTCGCGGACTAACGATCGCGAGCTCTCGAGCGGCACGGCCGCTACATGGCCGGCGTCAAGAATGAGATATACCTCGCCGCGAGTGACCGATGACTACCGGTAGTTCCAATACCCATCTTTGTATCTGCGAATATCTTAGACACCACAATAATACTGTCAATGTATTTTTGTACAATTCGAACGTCGATCCTTCGATCTGAGTCATAAATTTGGCTTAGAGTTTCAGAGCTGTACATATTTGCACGATCATATCCTTGACACGTCCCCCTCGGTGTCCCCCTTAAAAAACTCAGATCTGAAAAGCTCTTGTCTTGGCGACGAAAGATCCTGTACGCGTCTCCTTTTAACTCTCACATCCTCGTGTTTAAAAATATATAATTAATTGCCTATCAATTTATCAGAATGCGTAGGGAATCGCGCCTCGAGGCGCAGTCAACGGATCTTCTTATCCGTCTCCGGTTACGCGTTGCAATGCGATGATGTAATCGACACACCCGACACTTTTCCCTCCGTTTCTTGACACGCTCGTATCGGCAATCAACATAATTTAGTCTGTCACGTCAGTTGACACGTAATTTTCATCTTTGTTTTACCGCAATTATGTAACGACGATTGCATCAACGGTTCGGTTAAATTAATAATCGTTCCTTCCGCGCATCTCGTAACGTGTCGTGAAATCACGTGTATATATATATATATATATATTATATCCACGATTTATTATATGCACATCGTCCGGGTTGCTCAATTTTAATAATCACTCGTGCGAATCTTCCCGTCGTACGAACTTCCGAGCCGTTCATTAACGCATTGCGACTGCAACAAATACCTTTACTCCCAATACGCTCTACTTCCGTATCCCCGTGTAGAATGCCTGGATGCTCCTTATACTTCTCCGATCTTGTAACAATGGTCCTGGGAACTTGGACGATCGGCTTTATTGTTGAACAACAGACTGCACAGACATACGGTATGTGCGAATATATATAGATGCATGGATCTAAAGATTGTTTCACAACGACGGCGCTATTTCCCATTTCGTATCAATCGAAAATAGATTACGTTACGTACAAAAGTACGCAATATTTTCGCGCGTGTTGCGGGCTTTATGTTATCTCACATTCGTTTCGAGTTACACTCAATTGTGTACGCTACAATTATTATTATCTCTTAAATCTCATGGCACGAGGGTATTATTTATCTGACCTGGATATATCTCCATATAGCCAAACGTCCATCTTTCTATTACAAGTCCTTAAAAAGATACTTTTTATACTAACTTACTATATACACCCGGATTCCCGTATCGGATCAGCGTGAAGACACCTTAAACCTCCGTTCCGGCGTTATAATGAGAAGATCTGGTGGCGAGAACCGGCCGGCTCGCCATTTGTCGTCGTTTGTTTGGCGAAAAGACAGATCCTTTGTAAATGCAACATCTGCTACGATGGCGTTACGTCAATTTTTGTTTTGTTTCCACGGCGCCTATTTTCTACGCTTTTATTCTGTGTTGGGTTTTAATAAAATAAAATTCGCGAGTAAAATTATCTCGTGGAAGCGTAGATCGTGCGAGCGACACAGTATTCTCGACGAAATCACAATTTTCTTCATTGGCGTACAATAATTGATGCACACGGTAGCCAGTTAATTTTCTTGTACTTTGTACCGTCCACGTGGCTTTAAAGAGGCGGATATTCTGAGCCTGAACCGACGTCCAAAATGCAAATGCGCGACATTCCTGGCGGACGCGTCTCGTTAAATTTTCAAGAACGTTGAAACTACAGTTATCGAGCGAATGCAAGAATAATATGTCTGGAGGTTGTTAAGCGATCGATCGAATTTTCCATTAGATAAGTATGAAAAGCATCTTATCCCAGTCTAAAGCCGAATGCAAAACGACGAAGCAATAAACAATTTTCGCTGCGAGTCGGTCACGAATTAATTTTTATTATCCGCCAAGTAGATAGATACACTATTTACATCAATCAACTTATTGTATGTACGTATACACGTATATACATATATATGATTTAAAGATGATAATGCAGGAAGGACCTTTATAAGTTACAAGTTAGTATTTTTTTAATTGATCAATGGACATACGCGGCATTATATTTTCATCCAACAGACAATTTAGTGTCCGACCGAGTTTGCCGGCATTTGACCTAGTAAAAAAAAAACGATAAATAACTGAACGCATATTACGTATGTACGTTTCACGCGAACAGTCAAGGTTTACGACCAAGCTCGGATTATTAAATTATTCGAATGTTTTAGGAGCTGAAATATATACGAATCTCCAGAATCATCGTGGATGTCCATTATTAAGAAGCATTAGTTAGTGTTGTCCATTGTAAATATATGCAAATGTTGCACGTTTAATAACATGCCAACATTTCTGATATACCTTAGATATCATGTGTAATATATCAAAAGATAGTATTGACTTTCCGTCGACAATAGTAACTTTTAACCGTGGGGTAAACCACTGACCACAGTCATGTACATACACCGATGCCCACTAATGCCCAGTGGGCATTACTTTATCTTATTATCTTATTTTATCTTTATAATGTCCCAGCAAGACCTAATGTCCAAACTAATGCTTAAAAAATGCCTAGTAAAGCCCAGATGCCGCAAATCTGTACACCACAATGCCCTCAGCGGTTTCCCCCCCGCCCCTCGCTTTTAACCGATTCTATTCTTCGAAGGATCCTTTGCCGTAACTTGCTTTAAATCTATTTTTGCAATGGCCGGTATTCATAGTCGATTCTTATTTCAATATCATCTTAAGTGTTGTCTTAAGAGGCTAATACGGCTCTGTGATTGGTTAAAAACACATTAAGAGTATACTTAAGACGATCTTAAATATAAGAACGGACTGTGAATACCGGCCAATATGTATCTAGCTATTACATATATACAGGGTGTATTCTAATTCGCGTCCACGATTTATACAGCGATATTTCTCATGAAAAACTGGCAATGAGTCGGAAAGTCCCAAACCATTTTTTCGTATTATGCTTTATAAAGTAGTTACTATTAATTAAAAATTAGCTAATCAGCGTCACTTTTTAAACGGACGCACGTTCGTGATCCGCGCATCTATACTAATGCGTGAAGTGAACCGCGCGTCTTGGCGGTGTCTATCGTGTGTCCGTTTAAAAAGTGATGCTGATTGACTGATCTTCATTTAATAACTATTTTATGAAGTATGATTCGAAAAAATGGTCCGAGACTCTTCGACTCAGTTTTTCACGAGAGAAATATCACTGTATAAATCGTGGGCGCGAATTAGAATACACCCTGTATATATCGGAGGAATACTTTCGCACAAATATCGCGGCTAGACAATGTTAAGCGACGCGGGAGGATCTCTCGAAATTCCGCGCGTGCAAGCGAAGATACAAAACGATTCCTTGTGAGAGAAAGGAGTGCCTATATTTCCCCTCTCGCCTTTGTAGGACAAGGTTACATAAGCGAGGAGGGCTACGACGCGGAGGTTTTTGACCTGGTTTCACAGAGAACCCTGATGTGTATCTGCCACTTCGTCCCCATGTGCAAATATACCGTAAAACCTATTATAAATAGTAGCGTCTGATGAAACCCATCAAACATATCTGTATTTAAAATGTAAATAAAATTAATTACTTTTCATTTCCCTACATACAGGGAGGGGAAAAAGTATGGAAATCCCTAAGTTTTCGAAAACTATGCCTTTTAGAGGTATCTTCATGTAAGACTATCCCAGCTCAAACCAATGATACCGTCTTATGTCCCCCTTGAAACCATACAAATTTTGTCTCAAACATTTGTTTCTAAAATGTATAGTTTGCGAAAACTTTAGGGGTTTCCATACTTTTCCTCACCCTGTATAGAGAGACGACGTATTAGACCATCGTCGCAGAATAATAAATGCAATCGAGCTTCCCCGCTTTCGTACGTCGAAAAGACATCGATTAATCTCAAATTTCATAACTTGAGGCTAATACAATCTGAGAAAAAAACCTGCAAAAATTCCTTCGAAACTGGATAACATAAAGTAATAAAGAAATTTCCAATATCAATTGTTATAATTGTAGCAGTGGGCACACTAATTGTAGGCAGACTTCGGTATATTTAGAAAGGTTTATCGTCGTGGAATTTGCAAGTGTTTAATATATAATCCTGTTTGTATTTTAAATAATATATCAGTTGCAATTTAAGATACACATTGTAGATATTCTTTTGCACTTGCGAGTGTCGGTAAAAAAAATTGGAAAAAATCTGCATTCCTTCTTAAGGTTATTCAAAAGGGAAACCGCCGCTGCACTACAATATACTCCGCTGCGTGTGCGCGCGCGCACAAGTTGTGTCCCTCATGTTTGCATGCACGTGGTGCGACGCACTGCTCCGGGCGACATTTCGCTTCTTGGACAGAAAGAAACAGGCCGCGCGTTCCTTTTGTAACCGCCGACAGAGATCATAAAACCTCTCGTGGAAAATTCCACGAGCAAAAGCAGAATGAAAAAGAACCTCCTGGGGCCTTTCCTCTCTCCTGACTGATATATATATACATCTCTCTCTCTCTCTCTCTCTCTTGCAGCCTCTGTAATTACCTGATATTTTTCATCGAGAGAAATCAGTTCTCCGAATCGATGGCAGAGTATTGTATCTACATGGCAAAAATCTAGAACATTCCATCATGCTGACTGTATTATTAGCGTACAATCATCGTTCCATGTTACATTCTGCTAATTTATTTTACACTTGGCAGGTGGAGAGCAAATTATTTCCAAGGGATTAACTGGAAAAAAATAATGCTAATTCCATTCTATGAATTTTATCGATTCGGGACGTTGTAGCAATACTTAAATTACACACGAGCACACGCATACTTTCCCTCTTCCTTTCTTTCTCTATGTAATACTGAGTCGACAATGAACTGTTATAGAGATAGCGGGCACTGCGGTTGATTGATGCAATTAACACGGTGTCCACGCTTTGAAATTATCGTCACAATTATTACGCAGGCAGCGTCATCAATTTATCTCGGTGCGTCTGCTCTCCTTCAATTGTCTATGCCTCAATTCCTTCTAATACAGTTCTCATGCAGTTGTTCAAAAATACTGCGCGCCAGTACGTCTTTTGATATTTACACAGTTAACTGAATTTGTGTAAGCGGTTTACGCCTTGTACCGACCACCCCTATTTCGAAGATTTCTGTTTGTGGATAGCACCAGTCTCGTTCTTCGATAAAGACCACACGATACACGCAGTCCTTTTACAAAAGCTCGTATTGTTTTTGGTGTCGTGCAATTAAACCGACAATCGAAATTCCATATGGGGAACAAGGACATGGTATCAACGTGGTGCTCAACGTCTCACCAAGACGATGATTCATCGTCACGAGACGTCGCGTGCACGATTAAGCTCATTGAAAGCGAGATCGCCTCGTGACTTCGATGATCGGACGCGCGTACGATCAAATGCGAACGATGACGACGGCAAA